CATGTGGGTGCTGGGATTCCAACCCGGGTCTTCTGCAAGAACAACCAGTGTTCTTAACTGCTGAGCCTTCTCTCCAGCCCCCAGAATATCTATTATTTATGCGCTTCTGAGCTTTTTTAGGGCTTATCTAACTTTTTGCTGTCTCTCCCCTGTACCTTAACCTCTTGCCCCCCCCCCCACCTCCCGCACCACATATAAAATATCTACCAAAATATCTGGGGCTTATTTTCTTTGTTGAACAGGGCTATAGATAAGAACAACAGTTATGAATAACATAGTACCTTACAGTTTACACCATTTTGTGTGGACTTTGGTAGGCATTTTAAGGATATCCTGCCATCCAAATTAGTTACAGAGGAAGGGTTTCCCACAGATGGTTTCTGATGGGTTGGCTCTCTAGTAAATGTTTCTTTCACAGCTGGAAGCTCTTTAGATGTTGTGGTAAAAGGAAAAGGGAATGAAATTTGACAATAGACAAGGATTTAAAACCCATCACCAACATTGCCAGGTCTGTGACCCAGAGCTGGATACCTCACTTCTTTGAGATTTTATTTCCTAACTGTGCATCAAGAATAATAATGTTGATTTCACTGGGCTATTATGGAAATTCAAGGAGATTAAAAGTGTTTTTCTGTCACTTGGTACATAGTAAATATACATAAAGCATAGCTTCCCATTTTCCTAAGTTTTTCTAGGAATACTTAATAAACTCTAAAGCAGTGATCTTCATACTTTTACATATCTCAACACTATGTTGAAAAATATTTTTTTCAAATACATACCTTTAATACAAAAGACACAATATAATACCACCAAATTATATTAAATATTCGCACACCCTAATTTCTATCTTATATTTTAAAAATAAAAACAAAGGTAGACTGAAGTTCAACTCTTTCTTACTATATCCTACTCAGTCATTCCGATTGATTTCTAAACTTCTAAAGTGTCCTTACAGCCCATTTTGTAGAGCACTGGTCTCAGGGAACATAGTAGCTTCTTGCCTTTCAGAACAAAGGTGTTTTCTTAGCCAGTTAGGCATTGGTCCTTGAAATATTTGCCTCTGTAAATTGCAGAGTTTTGGAGGCTCTTCAAAGATCTCTCGGATCACTTTAAAATTTACTTAATAATTGGATGAAAATGCAGAATCAACAATCAAGATGTACTCCTGTCTGATAATTGGTTATAAAGTAGGCAAATAATTTCATAAACTATAACATCATTCAGCGACTTCATCCTCAGTTCTTCCCTTGTCTCTTATCTGTGAGTGTTTTAAAAATTATTTATTTAATAACCACATGATGAGAAGAAGCATTTCATTACAACAGCCTTGACACATCCAATAACAATTTCCAGAGCTAAGATGCATCTGTTTCAAAATTGGCTGTAAATTTTAGGTTTACCATTGAATTAATACAGTTATACAATATTGTACTCAGTATAAACCCTATAAGACATAAAATTAAATGAGGTTTTAAACTTTAAAAAAGATCTCTATTTCATTATTAAAATACAGGTTCATACAGAAAAATTCACTTTTAACAATTGTCACTAAGATGCACATGCATTTCTAATCTCTATATATTTGATTATTACTAGTCACAGTTGGTTACTTTCTGAGCTCCTTGGCATCTGAGCATGGATGTGAAGTCATCACGTAGATTTCAATGGTAATGTTTTTCACATCTACTAATTATTAAGAAGCATTTTTTTTGTCTTTTTGAGACAGGGTCTCCCTGTTGCCCCAGCTGTCCTGGAACTCACTATGTAGACCAGGCTGGCCTTGAACTCACAGAGATCTGCCTGCCTCTGCCTCCCAAGTGCTGGGATTAAAGGTATGCACCACCAGGCCCAGCAAGGAGCAAATTTTTATGCTTTGAAGAATTATTATTATTTTTAATTTTTTAACATCCACTTCCAAGATAGCACCCTCCTATAGCCTCCCTCCCCAAACTAGAACCCTTATACTCTGATATCCCTGCTACTGTCTGCTGTGTTGTCGGCACCCCCAGCCATTCCCCACTACTTGCCCTTCTGGTGAATCTAGTCAGCCTATCTAGAGGTCTTTGTTTTAGGGTCAGCTCTTCCTCATCTAGCAGTAATCAGTTGTCAAGATTCCTTTGGATAAGATTGGGGTCTTCTGTTCATTTTCCCAGTTCTCTTCTGGGTTACTATCTGGGAATCCCTTTGGTCACCCTGGCCAACAACTCAAAAGAAGGTACCGCCTGTCTGGCATTGTTGCTTGTTATGTAGTCTTTAGCTATACATATGGACTCTTATGAAATTATATTGGCCCATTTAATCTTTGGTTATACTTTCCTTTTGGGTGTTTAAGGCCATAGAGTTGGTTCAGATAAAACTGATTTATTTTTACTCTTAAGGTCATTTGAGGGTTTGTTCCTCAGGGATCACATGGGCTTGGGAGGAGTCCCTGGCTCCTTTCTTTTACCAGTTCCGCCTATATGAAGATAAATCAAAGGTCCTGCTCAAACGTGGTTGGCTTTGCTTGGAAGCATGGAGGAAATGATTCCTCTGTGTTGACCCTTCTCTTTATAGACTGGACACTGGTTCAAGTCCATCTGGTGGGGTCTCCTCAGTCTCCTTGATCAAGAGGACAGGTGACCCACCACCATTATCGGACATTTTGAGAGGTGCTCATAGTCCCCCAGAACTAGTCGACCCAGGAAGGCTAGGAGCAAAAGTGTCCTTTATGTCCCTCTGACCAAATTATTATAGACCTCAAAGTATGTCTGTTAAACACCCAAGAAGGTTAGTTCCACCAGTCTGGTATTTTTAATTACTGTGTGTCATGTAGATAAATCTTGGGCAAAGACCAATTGTTCTCAGATAAACCTTACATAGACATGCATTTCTTGATCTGCTATATATAATTTGTCAGTAGGGTGTAGGGGTAATATGGTTCTCTCTGGTTTTCAAAACTAGCTAGGCATTGTTTATCTCTCACATTGTCTCGCCCCTCCATCACGGTTTTCCCACTTAAGATGCCTCCATTTTCCCCTTTTCTCCCTTACTAATACCCTTCTCCTATGGTCCTACCTCTCTTGAGCTCCTTCTTTCCCTTTATCCCCTAGGTTCCTTGTATACCCTTCCCTCCCGCCTCCCCTAAACTAGCCCAATTTTTATCCATATCTCTCTTATTAAGGCCTGTTTCCCACTGTTCTTCTCTTTCAGGTTCTTTCTTTTCCTTTACCTCCCTGTTTCCTTTCCATTATCCTGGTTCCTGTAGTTATGTCTGGTTGCATACTTATTTATCCGAGTCTGGTTCTAGGATCCACCTATGAGGGAGAACATATAATGTTTTTTTTTCTGAGTCTGTGTTACTTCACTTAGTATAACAGTTTCTAGTTCTATCCATTTACCTGCAAATTTCATGATTTCATCTTTCTTTACTGCTGAATAAAACTCCATCATATAAATGAACCACATTTTCATTATCCACTCATCAATTGAGGGACACTTAGGTTGCTTCCATCGCTTAGCTATTATGAAAAGAGCAAATAGGGAAATTTAACACAAATAAATTAATCCAAATTAGTTTTGGTTATTTAATACAAACCCTGCTCTGGAGCAGCTGCTGTCATAGAAATTTGGAAAATACAGCAATAATAAAATTCTCTCTGTCAGTCATTTGAGTATGGCTGGGGAAAGCAGTTCAGTGTCCATCAGAGGGGAGGGACAGTTGTGTATTTTGAAAAATCACAACATTTCTGAGAGGCCACATGATAACTCTTTTTTTAAGAGGATAATGGTGTGGCAGGAGGTCAGTGGAACAAATGGGCAAGTTAATTTTTCAAACATTATTATGCCAGATACGTTGGTATTTCTTAGTCATTACTTAACACTTGCACTTATCACCTATCATGTCCAGATCTGTAGTTAGTAATTAGGTCGTTGCTTTCTTATGATGTTCCTTTTATTACCTGAAAAACCTTTCAAACTGCCCCTAGATAGTTTCCATCCCCCTTCTGCAGGTCATCAGGGCATTTCACTTTATTGTCTTTGATGTCAGTTGTCACACTGAGTCATGTATTGGTCCTGCTTTTTTTGCAAGCTGGTGTATGAGGTACAGTGCTGTATTTACTCTATTTGCTTCTGTCCCCTACACCCTAGCACCTGCTAGATGACAGTTACGATGGCTTGCCAAATACATGATTGAATATATTAATCTAATTGCCTTCATAACTGTTAAGAGCTCCTTTGACCCTTGGCTGCAGTTTCTCTTTTCCTTTCAGACCGAATGGGACACTTGACGTTGCTTTGCTCTTTTATATTGATTTTCAAGCCTTAACAAAAACCTTCAAACTATGAACTCTTTCCCTCAAGTAACTCCTTTCCTTTTTCTCCCATTGAAAATTATTTATCCGACATATTGTAGTTTCGAGGGACTTTCTGTGTGGACACTAAGGGCAGTTTGTTGGGACACTGAA